TTTGGAATCACCTTATTGAGTTAAAATTTTTTTTGGTGATTTTTACTAAAATTTCATTTAATTTTATGAATAGATATCAAAAAGGATTTTATAAAAGGTGGTTTCAAGAAGGCTTTAGAAAGACTAAGATTCAAATGATAATTTTTGGGAAAAGATTTAGAATTCTGTTTTGCTACCTTCTTTTGTTGCTGCTGTAAATTATTTCCTTGTACTAGGTAAAACATTTAAAACAAGGCAGCTGGTTTTGCAGCCCGCCTAAGCTATTGGGATCTACTATTCAGAACTAGTGAGGTGGTACAAAAAGAAAGAAAGAAAGAAAAAAGCTCCTAATTTTCCATTCAAGGCACGAATTGCCACAGGGCTTAACTTTCTCTATTATCTTTAGCTCCTACTTCCCTCTTAATTAGTTTACCAAATTGCCATTCCATAGTACATTTTTCTAGATATTAATAGCTGTGTCTGGGAAAGAAAGTTACAAATTCAAACAAAAAATTTTTAATTCTGTGTAGTAAAGCTCTCACTTGGAGTTTTATAATGTACGTACTTTAGTATATCACAGACTCTTAGTGGAATCACAATAAAGAAGTATCTCTAATTTTGTTTTAATTCACCATTTGACAAAGTTTTGTGTGCATGGATGTTTATTTCTTACATATTGATTAATATCCTACAGAAAAATGTTCCATGGGACATCAATTTGGGAAGTGGTGTATTTAAACAAATAAGAAAAAGACAAGAAGAATTCAGACATTTTTGGTCAATCAAAAATACACAAAATTTTTAAATGAACAAAAAGTACCCAGCAAGACTTATAGAAAAAAATACTCAAGCTTTGTTTTTTAGCTTGGGGTCTCAACGTTGGCCAATACCTGATAAAATGTTTCCTTTAACTTAATCAAAGTTATGCTTTCCTTCTTATTTCAGCACAAAAATGAAAGAACAGGCAGACAGCCCAGATTTATTGATCTCTCACTGTGAAAGCAATAGAAGTGTTTAGTCTTATAAGAACAAACAAACAAAAGAAATGCATTTCTCTTATCCTTCCTTATTCTTACTGTTGAGTGGCCTGAAGAGAACCAACAAACATACCAAAACTAAATGATGTTCTGTTTATACTCTTCTTTCTGCTCTGTTGATGCAGCAGGTATTAATCTGCTTGATGCACTGCTGGCCTGATGGGGTAGCCCTGCTCAGCTGAGGCTGGCAAGGGAAGGACAGAGAGATCACCCAGATGGAAACCAAGGGCCTTTCCTGGAAAACCATTTCTCCTCTCTCACAGGACATTACTTCTTTCTGTTGTTGTAACAAACATTCAATAATAGTTATAGGCAAACTTTGGAGGGTCAAGTTCTCGATTTGCAAGGGGAAACACTGGCATTTCCCCTTCTCTCTTGGGACTATATTTGGCATTTATTCAACAAACATTTACTTATTAGGGGCTTACTGTAGACCAGGCACTATCCTAAGCTAGAGTTACTAAGACTGATAGCACAATCCTTGAGAACCTAACTGATTAGAGAATAACACTTTTCTAAATACCCTCAAAAGTATCAAAACACCCCCTGAAGTAGAAATATGAAGACTTGGATGCTGACTTTAGAGTAACAGACTCTCAGATTGAAAGTGTAAATCCAAAACAATGGTGCTCCATGCTCCATGAAGCTGGAGACTTTTCTTGTTTTCTCTTGTATCCTGAACCTGGATTAGGGCCTCTCAACAAATATGTACTGGCTGTTGGATGTACACTGTAGCCAAGTGTGAATCTTTTCTAGTCTAGCTTTTCCTTGACGGTGTTCCCTCACATGTGGTCCATTCCACCTTTGACCAGCTGTGTCACGAAAGCCTCCCTAACACTGTGCAGAAATCCACCCGTGCGACGTTCACCCACAGATTCACATTCTGCCCTCTGGGACTCCACAGGACAGTTCTCTCCACTGCTACATTTTATTTTGAAAATTTTAAATCTACAGAAAAGTTGAAGGAATAGTACAATTAACACACATATACTTTTCATCTAATCACCAATTACTAGTATTTTTCAATATTTGCTTTTTCTCTTGCTGTGTTTTTTTTGTTTCTGTTTTCATGAATCGTTTGAGAGGACGTTGCAAACGTAAAACTACATCACACCCAATATTTTGGCATACATCTCTTAAGAATAAGAACATTCTCCTGCATAACAGCATTCCTCTTATACATCTAAAGAAAGTAATATTAATAAACTATTATCAGCACACTTTCCCTCCCACGAGCACACCCACGCCTTTCCCTATCCCTCTCTTATTCCCCTACAGGGGTACATCTCCTAAACTCTAAGGGTCCCCACCAGACTTGCAACCAGGGGGGCAATGGAGAGCGGCAGCTTGTTCCGGCTAACCCCCTGAACCTGCCTCCAAGGCCCCCTTTTCTGTGGCTCTCCAGTGAGCTGACAGCAGCCCTGATTTGGCTCACTTCTTTTCCATAATGTTTCTAGGGAGCCAGAGCAGCCCTCTTTCCTCCAAGATCTACTCACTCCACACTTACTGAATGAGAATCCCTGGGAGCGTGGGATTCTCTGTTTTGTTTTTTTTTTAGCTCCCCAAATGATATCAACCACTGCACACTTTGATTTTTCGAGGTCTTGTGAACCCAGAATTGGATACAACATCGAAAGTATGGTCTAGAGCTATCCTTTTTTTTTTTTTTTAATACTGGACACTATAATTCTTTCAATGTAATTAAATCATTGCTGACATTTTTGGGGAAGTGGAGGCAATGACATAAACATTCGGACTCATGAGAAATTTGTAAAGAATTAAATCCTCAAGACTTTTTCAAACACATTGGTAAGTCCCATCTCCCCCATCTCATGTTCAATTGTCCTTTTAGACCTAACTGTAAAGACTTACATTTGCTCCAATTAAAACTCATATTACTTGATTCAGTCAACCTTTCAGTATGTCAAGATCTTAAGGATCCTGATTATATCATCTTAAGTATTTTTTACCCTTCCAACTTTGTTACTCACAGTTAAGTATGCTGTCAAAGTTCTCTTTCTCACATTGTCTTTTTATTTCTTTTTTTTTTTTTTTTAAGTATTAAAAATATCAATCTTATAAACTTTTCTGATTGCTGTGGTGGTCACATTACTGTATGCTTATCAAAACTCATAGAATCATACAGCAAAAAGAGTGAATTTTAATGTATGTGCATTATACCTGAAGAATACCAGCCTTATATTTCAAATACTCAGCTATATTTTTCTCCCAGGTTAGGTCTCACCAACTTATTTTATGTTTTAAAATGCATATATTTTTAAATTGATTTCAGAGAGAGGAAGGGACAGGGAGAGAGAGAAACATCTGTTGTCTGCCTCCTGCACTCCTCCCCCCTACTGAGGATGGAGCCCACAATCTGGGCATGTGCACCAACCAGGAATTGAACCAGTGACCTCTTGGTGAATGGAACAGTGCTCAATCAATGGAGCCACACCACTGGGGCTCAATAGCTTATTTTTTTTTGACAATTTTTGCAAAATGTATCACTATTTTAACTAATGGCGCTTTCATGGATTTTTCATTTTTATTAGAGTTCAATATATTCTAGGGTTTGATACCTTGCTAAAGCATCAGGGTTTGGCTTACCAAGCCAGTCAACCCAATAAATAAATCATCACCATTTTATCAGTTCCCAAAAGGCAAAATGCAAAAATAAGTGATGGAATGTGGAATAAGAGAAAATAATATTATAAAAATTAAAATTCTTCACAAAACTGGGTTTAAAAAAATCAAATTCTTGCCTAGGAGTGAAAGTTAAGCAATTTTCTACCTATAAGTTTGAAAAGAATTTAAAAAACACTCTTCAGTGCCGACGAAGATCTTGTGAAACACATGTTCACAGAATGGTTATGAGACTTGCATAATATAACATCCTTGGCCATTTGAAACTATCTAACAAGCCCTGGTTGGTTTGGCTCAGCAACTGGAGTGTTGGCCTGTGGAACAAAGGGTCTCCGGTTCCAGTCAAAGGCACAAACCTGGACTGTAGGTTCGATCCCCTGCCCCGGTTGAGGTCACGTAGGAGACAACCAAACGATGTGTCTCCCTTACATTGATGTTTCCCTCCCTCCCTCCTTTCAACTCTATCTAAACAAAAAACAAACAACAACAACAACAAAAAAAAACAAAGGAAAAATATCCTCAGGTGAGAATTAAAAAGAAAAAAAAAAAGGAGAAACTAATAAGAACTTAAAGAATTCAATATGAATATAAATATACTAATAAAAACTCCAGAAAGAATTACACCAAATTTTTAGCAGTAGTAAACCATCTCTAGCTGATAAAAGCCAGCCTGTTTTGCTTGTTTTTTCCAATGTTTTTATTTTAAAAAATATTTTAAAAATATCTACAATGATCCCATGTTAGCCCTGGCCAGTTTTGCTCAGTGGTTAGAGCGTCAGCCTGCGAACCAAAGAGTTGTGGGTTCGATTCTGATCAAGGGCACGTACCTGAGTTACAGTTTGGCCCTGGCCCTGGTCAGGTTGTGTGGGAGGCAACCAGTTGATGTGTCTCTCTGGCATCAATGTCTCTCTCTCTCTCTCTCTCTCTCTCTCTCCCTCTGCTTCCTTCCCTCTCCTCTATCTGATGATAAATAGAAAAAAATATCCTCTGGTGAGGATTAAAAAAACAAAACAAAAAAACAACGATCACATGTTAGTTAATAATTAGGAAAAAAAGCAATACATACTTAGAAAAACACCAGTTAAAGAAAGGGAAGGAAAATAAACCACAAAAGAGACGATATGGAGATAAAATAATTTTTTGTAAGGATTTACCTATCACTGATAGGAATTCTCAAAATAAAATGCCTTCTAAGTAGTCAATAATTTTATAAAAAATTTTTGTTCAGAGAATGAACAATATTTCCCTGTAAAGCTTCTCTGAATGTCATACAAGATTCAAATATAGTATTTTTCAAATGAGAACCTTTATGCAGAATTATTAAACATTACAAGTTCATACCTTGAAGAACGATGCTCTGGTTTATTTCGTTCGTTGCGATCTGTAAAGAAAGAAGACAGTTAGTTACATGTCAGAATGCTCTTTAGAAGCCCTGCAAAGTTCTTAAACAGCTTCCATACCATTATATTTCACAAGAACTACTCCAAGGTTTCTGTGTCTTCTCTATAAGGCTCTTCTTCAGAGTTGAGAGGGTTTGTCTGACAGAGGAGGTAGACAGGACACAGAGAAAGACAGGCATATACAATTTTCATAGTTGGTTAAAATCATCTACTTGGAAAATATATCATTACATGTATTATTTCATTTCAAAGATCTTTGCTGTTTTAAACACTTTGCTAAAACCAAAACAAATTTAACTAAGGAAAGAAAGTAAGGAAATTGAAAAGCCACAAATTACTCAGCTCCAAAAAATCATTCCATGAATCATGGTTGGCAAAATCTTCTAACAGGATGGGGGCGGGGGGAAAATGAGCAGTCAGCCACAGCAACATCTGCAAATACACTAAGACCAGGACAATCTCATCCTTAACTCTCTATCACCCAGAACACAGAAGTTGGATTTCAATGTTTCAAGATAATTAGGTCTAATGTACTATAGGGCAGTAGTTTTCAACCAGTGGCGCTTTCACAATCCCTCCCTCACAGAACATTTGGCAATGCCTGGAGACATTTTTTATTGCCACAGCTAGGGAGGAAGGAGCTACTGGCATCTGGTGGGTACAGACCAAGGATGCTGCTAAACATGGTACAATGCACCCTACAACAAAGAATCATCTTGCCAAAATGTCAACTGTGCTGAGGTTGAGAAACCCTGCTAGAGTTCACTGCTTGAAGTTTTCAAAATGTGCTTCTTTGGAATGCTGTAAGATGCTATCAACCAAAACCCATAGGTTGTCTTTTTTGACTCTGAATAACATTTTTTTCCCAGTACATGCTTAAAAAATAAGATGAAGTAAGAAGGTCTCAGCATTATGGAAAAACTAACAACAGAAAGCAATGTGTAAGCCACAATAAAATCCTATACAGTGACTTTTAAAAAACAACCTATGCAATGTTGTAAAAATATAGTTTTCTAAAGTATCTTCTGAATTATTACTAACATAATAAAATTAAATCCCAAAACAAAGATCAGAAAGATTCTTTTGTTCCCCTTAATTTTATTGCTGGTAGAGCAGCATAAAGATGATGAAAATGTATGCTAAAACTTCTGGAGAGAATTATGGAAGAAAAGGAATCAGGTTTACATAGTTAAATATATGTATCAATTCTTTCTGAATGGTTTCATAATAATAAAGAAACGTTTTTTAAACCAAAGAGTTAGTACACAGGAAGACACTGCTGTCTGGAAGACTAACAAGGAGGAAGATTCTCAATAAAACATGTTTGTTTAGATATAATGCTTTCCCAAATGCACACTGTTAATATGCTTTTTGTTCCAATTTCTCTACACAGTGACTTAGTGTTACTGCCGCTTTAAAAATTTTTGTTTTAATTTAACTCGGTTTTACCCTGCTCATAAATAAAAATGTTTTTTCACTTGTTGAGTACTAAAAATTTAGTCATTACAATACAGTGCACATTTTAACCATCTTTTCAATAGTTCCTTTTCAGCTTTTAGCCTGATAGTTTTGCTAACAAAGGTAAAGTATAATGTCTCAAAGTAAAGCTAGTAACTAGGTGCAGATCAGCTATCCTCAGATAACAAAGCAACAAGTCTTACCTGTGGCTAAAGATGAGCTCAAAGCTTGCTCATAATACCATTTGTTGTGGCTGTGATGCTAGATTCGTAAAGTTTATTCAGGCATGCAATCCCAAACTCCCCCACAGATCTTCCTGGTGGTACAGCACACAGGAGGAGGGGAGAAACAGAGTCACAATGCTTGTAAACAAGACTCAGCATCTGAGGGCTTCCCTCCAGGGCCTGTTCCAATTGGCAGATGTGCTATGACCAGTCTGCACAGCTGGAATGCGGCCATTCAGGAAGTGAATGGCTCATAGCTCTCCTCCATTCTTGGTTAAAATGGGAAAATTTACAGTCCTTTTTATACTTTCTGTTCTAAGAAAATAAGTTGATAATCTGTTGAAGGACATTTTGAACATTTCCTCTCAAATTCACTTAGTGTTACATGCATTACATTTCTATGTAACTATACATATACAGTGTTTGTAATATAGTACTCCTAAATCCCATATATTTGATAATTTGAAGGTATGAGTAAATTATTCATTACTCACAATATTCCCTACCTCCCACCTCTTGACAATAGAAAACAAATTAAAATACAAGTTTTTGGTGTGATCTTTTTATCTAAAAGTATACAAATAACTGGACTTGAAATTTTGCTATAAGCAATCTTTTTAGCTTGAATACATATAAATATGTATGTCGTGTATATGTGTCTACACATATTTTTATATACTAATTTTTAGCAGAGTAATTTTCATGACAGCCAAGAACATTGTGCAATTGTCAAGAAATATATTAGTGGTAATGCTGTATTTCTGGCAAAATAATATGTGGTTATTATTTTGGTCCAAAAGCCAAGACTGAACAAAACAAAGCACTGAGGGCCGAATGGAGATCTGGATCTTGCCAACGGTAATAAAACATTTGGATAAAATCCCCTTAAGAAAAATGAGTACTGATCTCTAGCAAGCATGGAGAGTTTATCTTGCTATATACAGTGCTGTAAGCATATGGATTTTATTTATTTCAAATCAAATACTTTTTGGCACATCCCTCCAATTTCTTTTCAGAGTTTATAATTTTTAAATAATTAGAAGAGAATAAACTTGCAAAGGCTTTCTGAACTTTTACATATTTAGAAATCATATAAATAACTGACTAGCCCAAAGTCTCAACATTTCTACACAAAGAAAGTGGTTTTTTTTTTTGTTCAGGTAGAGTGGGAGGGAGGGAGGGAGAGAGAGAGAGAGAGAGAAACAGAGAGAGAGAAACATCAACGTGAAAGGGACACATCGAGTGGCCGCCACTCGCACGACCAACCAGGGCCGGAAACAAACTGCAACCGAGGTATGCGTCCTTAGCGGGAACCAAACCCAGGTGCCTCTGGACCACAGGCCAACGCTCTAACTGCTGAGCCAAACTGGCCAGGGCAGTTGTTTTTTTGTTGTTGTTGTTTTGTTTTGTTTTAAATAAGAATGCTCTAATTCTAAAATTCAGTTGCCAAATGCTGCACATTTACTGTGGACAATGCACTAGCTCCAGGGGCCACCAAGCTGAGCTTAACGATTCAGGTCAAAGATCAGCAGTACACTCCCAATGCGAAGGTCAGCATGGCTGGAGGGCTATGTAAAAGTATGTTGGTTTTGCAGCTATAGGTTATAGAAACACACACACACAGAGCATGACAGTACTTGCATTCCCTGTCTCTACTCATCCATGTCTCCTGGTTAATAAAGCTAATTGAGGAAATGGAAGAATACCCTGCAAGCAGAACAAAGGCAGAAAATAAGGCAGAACAGGTACAAAGGGTGTTGTTGATGGCTGTCTGTGTGTAAATGTCGTGGGGAGAGGTAAAGGAGGCAATAGGGGAACCCACAGTACATCAAGGGGACTGAGAATCAGGAGAGTCTACTATAGAAGCCACACTGAGTCAGTGATTCTGCGAGAACTCCAGATTACCCAAGTTTTCCTGCCATGATGACTTCTGGTTCTAATTAATCTGGATATACATGATTCTAATATTTATGTATTTAGGTGGTATACCACTTAATATAGAAATGGGCCCCTGTTCTGGCATGGATAGCTTTTTGGGAATGGCTAGATAGATTCTACTGATGTATTACCATTCAAGATGACTCTGAACCTAATAATATAACAAACACTTGGAAATGAAGATGACAAAAATGCAAATGTCATCTTTTACTTTGATTAAAACTAAGAAGAATGGTCAACTCAGAACTTCTAAGACTCTATTGTAAGACATGCTGGCTTTAAGGATTTGGCTTGATCACTTAACTGAAGAGAAAAATCAAATTCCATTGGGTAGGAACTTACATTGCTAATCCAAGTCAAAAGTAAAAGGTCCTAAATCATTCTTTGAAATTCATGGGAAGACTCAGTCTACATGAATGAATCCACCCAGGCACACTTGCAACAGAATACGAAGTGGTAAAGGAATCTGTCTTGTACATACTGAAGTATTAAAATCTCCTGTATGGCCACTGTTGCTCAGTGGTTGAGCATCAACCCATGTACCAAGAGTTTGCCAGTTCGATTCCAGGTCATGACACATGCCCAGGTTGTGGGCCCAAATCCCCAGTGGGGGGCATGCAGGAGGCGGTCAATCGAAGTTTCTATCTCTCTCTCTCCCTCTCACTTCATCTCTCTTTAAAATCAATAAATGAAAAATAGAAAAAGAAAAAGAAAACAACTCCTTAGAGTGAGTATTATCTATAAAGGGATTCTGTACTCAAGCATTACTGTCATATTCTAGCCTGGGTGTAAATATAGTATATTATTTTTTTAAAAAAAGGATCAATCCTACATAAATGTTTTATACCATTCAGTATTTTTGTTTAATTCCTCACCCAAGGGTATTTTTCTACTTATTATCATATAGAGTGGGAGGGAGGGAGGGAGAGAGAGAGAGACAGAGAGAAACACTGATGTGATAGAGCCACATCAACTGTTTGCCTCCTGTATGATCTGACCAAGGCCGGGGACAAACCACAACCAAGGTACGTGCCCTTGACTGGAATCGAACCTGAGACTCATTGGTCCGTGGGCTGACACTCTAACCACTGACCTAAACCGGCCAGGGCTACACCATTCAGTATTAACTAGAGGCTCCACACATTTTGAAAAATGATTCTATGTAGCAACAATATAATGGCCTATTTACTTATGATAAGCAGAATAAGTAAAACAATGAATCTATCCATTAGAAGACAAAAGATATTCAGGGTTCATGAATCTTACTTTGATGACTCTTTAAAAGATAACAAAACTGGTTCTACTCAAATAGAATGTGGATGGAATTTTAAATATCTGAGACCAGAGTTTCAGAGGCTTTT